TCTCCCTCCCCTGCAAACTGCTGATCCAAGGAGTTCATTACTGCAATTATAGCAAAAAAGTGTATCTTCAAAGTAAAACTTATAGGCAAATATGCTAATGAGGTAAATAGTAATCAGGGGCGGGAATAATTATATGCAGTATAGGCAAAAAGAAAAGGAGGACTTGTGGCACCTTAGAGACTAACAAATTTATTTGAGCATCAGCTTTCACGAGCTACAGCTCACTTCACCACTGAATGCATCCGATGAAGTGAGCTGTAGCTCACGAAAGCTCATGCTCAAATAAATTTGTTAGTCTCTTAGGTGCCACAAGTCCTCTTTTTCTTTTTAGTGGATACAGACTAACACGGCTGCTACTCTGAAACCTGTCACTCAGTATAGGGTTATCAATATTCATTGTATTTCAACTACCTGAAAGGGGGTTCCAAAGAGGATGGCTCTAGACTGTTCTCAGTGGTAGCAGATGACAGAACAAGGAATAATGGTCTCAAGTTGCAGTGGGGGAGGTTTAGATTGGATATTAGGAAAAACTTTTTCACTAGGAGGGTGGTAAAACACTGGAATGCGTTACCTAGGGAGGTGGTGGAATCTCCTTCCTTAGAAGTTTTTAAGGTCATGCTTGACAAAGCCCTAGCTGGGATGATTTAATTGGGGATCGGTCCTGCTTTGAGCAGGGGTTGGACTAGATGACCTCCTGAGGTCCCTTCCAACCCTGATATTCTATGATTCTATGGGCGTTCATATTACTCCATAAGGGTTTTGGGGGTGTTGTAATAAATGTAGGAATTTACATGCTAATGTAAATAAAAAGAGTATGATGTAACTAATCCAGTGCTTACTGGACAATTGGGTCCAGGGGAACAAGTACCGCAATAAAGAAGCCCATCTACTCAAATCTGCCCCTGGGTCAGCCTGTTCTTCTTCCAGCACCCACCTTCTGCAGTCTAAGTGCCAGAGCAGGGAATCAACCTTGACAGCAGGGTTTATTAAAAATCCTGGAGCAGTCACAGTAAATTTACAGACCTGTGATGTTACTAAAGTTACTGTATCTGCTCCGTAATTTTGGATACAAAACGCTGTAACAAGTCTGCAGCCTGACTCAGGGTGTTTCTACCCTATGGTGTTTGTGCAGCACCTAGCGCCTGCTCCCACAGGGGCTATGCATGTCTTGGGTCTTGGTTTAAGCTTGAATTGTAGCCTGCCCAGGATACAGGCAGCACCTGGCACAGCAGGACCCTGTTTTTGTTTTCAAACTGATTTTGCCTTTATTTCAATCAGAGGGGTTTATTTATGTGGTATTGGTTCTTCACTTTCTCCTGTTTTATAGGATGAGGCCTGTTCCCCAGTTATTTTGCTGTTATAATTATATTGGTTTGAAACTAGTTTAGTTGAGGGGCTACAATCCCTTCATGTGGACGCAGTGAGACCAGTTTAAAGCTGTTTAGAACAATGTAGCTTATTCCTGTGGGGGTGTGAGTCCTTTTCTAGGAATTCCTTTGAAGAAATCATTTACTCTCAGCCTGAGGTTTCAGTCTTTGTGTGAAACTAAAACTTAACTAAAATCCTCAAGAAGGTGAGGATTTGGGGGGTTTCTGTGTGTGAAGGATTTGAGGGGATGACCAGTCACTCAGGGTTTGTGTGATGTAACCTGGAAAACATGTCTGTATTGTGTCACAACCCGCTCCCTGGCACTGCTGAGCTGGAAGGGGTGAATGGCTGCCACCCAGCCTTTGGTCTACAGACAGTCACAGACACGTTAGGGCTGAGAGGTGTGCTAAGCACTGACACTGAAGCAATGTAAGTGACAAAGGTTTCATGCCACAAAAAGCAGGATTAGAGGGGATGGGACAAAGGCCATACCGCCACCCTCTCTCTCACAGCCAGCCCATACACCAGGGTACTCAAGTCATGACCCACAGGATGATTTAATCTGCCCCCCAAATGTGTCCACTCCTCCCACAGCAGCTGCCTGGCCCGCGGGGCAGTTTTAGAGCATTACAGCGAAGTGCTGCAGGTGCTAGAGATCTGTTCTACACCATGGCGCCTCTGCATGGCGTCACCTTACACTAGTCCTATGTGACTGACCCTGCCCGGCATCATTCCCAGCTTTCTCCTTGCTCGCTGGGAACAGGTTTCTCCAGTCTGAGAGGTCACATGCGAAGTGAAGTGGCAGAGAGGGGGTGGGGTGGGAACCTGGGGAGAACAGCACCCTCTCTGCCAAGGGCCAGCGACTCTGGGATGCTCTTGCAGGGGGCAGAGCCATGAAAAGCCATTTGAAAAATCTCTAGGGCGCCCTTTACCTTGGTATGATTTTCTGAGGTGTGGGAAGCCTAGCAGGTCTTGTGTTCTATGACCGGACAGGCTTGTCTTTCTACCCAGGTGCTTGTTTGCCCCCCATCAGCCAGTTCACACAGTCTCTATCTTTCTCTCCCCTCCTCCCCCACACCAGCCCATGTACCCCATCTCCTCAGAGCGAGGGCAGGGGAGACAGGGCTCAGGAGAGCTTTCAGTGAATGCCTTAGAGACAGCACCCAGCGTCTCTCAGAAACTTCGCCAGCACACAGACTGATTCTGTGTGTTACACACACAGTCTCCAGCTCTTTCACACTCACCTCTGAACACATACTTGTAATATTGTTGTTACTTCTTGGTACTTTCTGTAATGCATATATATTTTGACTGGTCTAAACACTAGCCCCTAGTTCCCAGCTTCAATTTGTCTCTCTTCAGCTCCCAGCCAGTGAATCTCGCTCTGCCTTTGCCTTCTACATGAAGGAGCGCTCCGCTAGCAGGTGTGTAAATCAGAAGGGACTGATTATGACTCACCTGAGGAGGGGCTCTCAGGCCCAGAGTGTACCGTGGAGCCCTTGGCATCCTGGATCCAGAGCTCTGCCTCCCCAAGCTCGATCCGGTGGATTAAGTCTGGTTTGGAACCTGAAGAGCCTGTTTTGGGGGAAAGTTTTATTCCTAAAGTTTTGGGGGCAGGGACTCATTTATGTGTCGGTGCAGCCCAGCACAACAGGGCCCACATCTCGGTCAGGGTGTGTCTACACAGCACCTGGCACGACGAGGCTCCAATCTCGGACACTGCTTCAGAGGAAAGCGCAAGCAGGAGAATAATGAAATAAACCAGAGATCTCAAACTCCAATCACCAGGAGAGCCACACGAGTACTACTAGTACATTGGCCCAAGGGCCGCATCACTGACACCCCCCCTGCCCCCCATTCCAACCCCTTCCCCAAATCCGCGCCTCTGCCCCACCTCCTCTCCTAAGCACACAGCTCCGGGCTCCTCCCCCCTCCCTCCTGGAAAGCGCTAAGCACCTGGAGGTAAGCAGAGGAGCAGGGACGCGGCGCGTTGGGGAGAGGGGGAGTGGGGAACCCCTGAAATAAACCTTTCTTAGAGGAGATTTCTTCCTATCTCTCACTCGTACTATGAATTGGCAACATCTACAACCCTTCTCACTTTGCAGTGGGAGCCAAGTTTAAAGCCTTGCTGGGGTAACTCTAGATCAGAGATGGGCAAACTTTTTGGCCCAAAGGCTACATTGGGGTTGTAAAATTGTATGGAGGGCCAGCTGGGGAAGGCTGTGCCTCCCCAAACAGCCTGGCCCCGCCCACTATCCGTCCCCTCCCACTTCCCACCCCCTAACTGCCCCCTCACAATCCCCGACCTATCCAAACCCCCCTGCTCCTTGTCCCCTGACCACCCCCTCCAGAGACCCCCCCATCCCTAACCACCCCTTATCTAAGCCCCCCTGCTCCTTGTCCCCTGACTGCCCCCCCAGGACCTCCCCACCCTAACCGCCCCCCCAGGACCCCAACCCCCCCTCTCTCTGTCCCCTGACTGCCCCGACCCCATCCACACCCCAGCCCCCTGACAAGCCCCCAGGACTCCCACGCCCTATCCACACACCCCGTTCTCCATCCCCTGACCACTCCCCCAGAATCTCTGCCCCATCCAACCGCTCCCTGCCCCTTATCCAACCCCCTGGCCCCCTTACCATGCTGCTCAGAGCAGCGTGCCGGGCGACCACACAGAGCTAGACATGCTGCCCCGCAGGAGTGCACAGCCCTGACGCTGCCCACGCCGCGGCATGGCTCCGGGAGAGGGGCAGAAGGCAGGGGAGGTCCGGGGACTAGCTCCTTGTCCGGGAGCTTAGGGGCTGGGCAGGATGTGGCCAGCCGTAGTTTGCCCACCCCACTCTAGATGTTCCATAGAAATATCCCATTCTGCTAACACTTTGGCCTCTATGCTATCTTGTGGCAGTACGTTCCATAGGACAACTGTGTGACATGGATTTCCTTCTTTTTGCAAATACAGACTAACATGGCTGTTACTCTGAAACCATGGATTTCCTTGTCTTCCTTCCTTCCTACAGAAACACCAGTGAACACCCATTAGTTTCAGATTAAGAGACAGGGTGAATAGAAAATCCTCCACCACCTTCTTTCTGGTCATTATTTCACTTACCCAACTGTCTCCTGAAATATGGATCATGGGGAAGACTTTGGAAGAAGGGAACTTTGCTCCTTTGCCACCTTACAGCTGTTGAAAACTTTCGAGCATGTCATTAAGGCAGATTGGCCACAACGTGTCATGGCAGGTGTCACCGTTACACAGACATTCCAGTTCTTTTGCATTGTTCAACTGGACAGTTGTTAAATTTACGATGCTCATTCTTTTGGGGGAGGTGGGGAGCTGTTGCAGCACCAGTGTTTTCCCCCTCCCCAGAGTCAGCTCCTGACGCAGAGTTGCTGCCCTCAACCTCTGGCTGGGATTCCGGGAAGAGATGGTTGCTCATGGGCTCTTTGCTACCATCAGGGATGTGCCACGACTGAGGCAGGTAATTCAAATAAACCAGTTACACCAAGATTAGCCCCAGGCTCTGTAGCCCTGAGTTCTCCTCCAACAGCGAGCTGACCTGAAAGGGGCTGGCATTTGCCACCACTCAATGACAGGGTGCCACATGGGGAACCAAAATGAAATTGGTCCTTACCCAAGGAAACAAGGGCCCGGTAATTCCTCAGCATCTGGTCCCGGTACAGCTGCTTCTCTGGCCGGGATAAGAGCCCCCACTCCTCCCGGCTGAAATACAGAGCCACGTCCTCAAACGCCACCCGCAGCTGCTGGCACAAGCGTTACACACTCAGCACCCTCCGCGCCAGCCCCAGCCCGGGCTCTCAGCAGGGGACGCGGGTTCTAGGGCAGCGGCTCCCGGGGAACCCCCAGCCCAGCAGCTGTGACCCAGGGAGACCCCCCGCACAGCCCCCCCGGGGACTCGGGCCCTGCTGGCCGGCGACAGGAGTCGCCCTCGGCTCCCCACGGGGCTCTGGGGCGGGGCGCTGGGAAGGGCCCGAATCCCAGGGCAGGGACCAGGCTCCTCCCCCGGCCGGAGTCCCCGCCTCCGCCCCAGGCCTGGGCTCGGCCCCGCTCCCGCCCCCGGCTCGGCCGCCTCGGGGCTCCTCGGCCCGGCTCCGCGTGTCCGCCCGGCCCGGGGCCCCCAGCGCCGCTCCCCGGCCCCAGCGCTCCGAGTGCGGCAGCCCCCAGCCCCGGGGTCACTAGCGCGGGAGGGACCCGGTCCCGGCCCCCCTCGGCCCCAGCCAGGACCAGCCAGTGCCCGGCCGGGGAGTCCCCGCCCCGCGTCCTACCTGCGCCGGCCCCGCTGCAGCCATCGCCGGGCTCGGCTCCGGCCCCGGCCGCTTCCTCCGCCCGGGCAGCGACCTCCCGCCCCGCGGCTGGTGCCTCCCCGGGGCCGCCTCCCTGCGCACGGGGCGGGCTGGGATCCAGGGGGCCGGGAAGGCCCCGCCCCGCTCCAGTCCCGCTGCCCTCCCCGGCCGCCCCACCGGCTCTGTCGGGGAGCCGGGGGAGGCTCCAGCGCAGGGACCTTCTGGCCCAGCCCCCCGACTCCCAGTTCACCGCGAGGATCCCGGAGCCCTGCGACGGGGCTCTGTCCCCAAGAGCAGCATGTTCTGGAAGTCGTGTCTCTGGGGGCTCCCTCTGCCCCCCCCCCATCCTGAGCGAACCCCCTCTGGGTGTCAAGCTGAAGGCCAGCCTGGGGTGCAGATGGAGCTGCGACAAGCCAGAGAGAGAAGGTCCCCGACAGGAGGCTGGGGAAGCAGGGGCATGAAATCCATGGGTGGCATAACAGGGGTGGGGGGCTGTAATACAGGGGGCTGGACAGAGGGTGGGGATCGGGGCCAGGTAAGCTGACCAGACAGCAAATGTGAAAAATCAGACAGGGGGTGGGAGGTAATAGGGGCCTATGTAAGAAAAAGACCTAGAAATCAGGACTGTCCCTGTAAAATTGGGACATCTGGTCACCCTAAGGCGAGGATACATGGGACTGATGCGGTGCGATTTGAAACACATGGGGAGAGAAAAGGGGTTGCCAGTAGATTTCTTTTTCTGACACTCTTTAATTAAAGATTAATTTTTAATTCTTGGAAACTCCAGGCCTAAGGGTTGTCAGCCCTAGTGAGAAATGGGATGGGGGGACTGGGACCCAGTGGGCAGAGGGGAGGGGCTAGAAAAACGGTAGGGAAGGAGCAGATGGTGGGTGGGAATAGAACATGGGGGGCAGATCGGGCAGAATGCTAGAGAAGGGCTCCCATGGGATGGGGGTTAGGACCTGAGGACAGATGAGAGCAGGCCACTGTGGGGCAGATTGCCACAGTAGGGGGCTGGACCTGGGGGCACATGGAAGGGGCAGGATGCAGATGCACTAGAATATGGGAGGCCGGGGAGATGTGGACAGGAAGGCTAGGGCAGTGGTGTTAGGATATAGGGGGCAGGAGCCATGGGGTCGGGGCAGGTAGGCTGGGGTAGGACACAAGGAGCGGAGAGGGGCAGGAGGACTAGAGCAGGTGGCAGATGAGAGGGAGGAGGAACCACTTACCTGGTTGCATGCCCCTGAGCTTACCCAGGGAGAGGCTGCCAGGGGCCAGGCTGGGCTCTGGATGTCAGTTTATAGCAACTTCACTTGTATTAGCCCTCAATGGCCCAACCAGGGCACCCACTGTCAGGCTTCCAGCTCCCCAGTTGTTCCCTCTCTTGGCTGAAGACACTTGCCCCTCTTCCTTCTGATAGGGGTATTTCCAGGTTCCCTTCCCTGTGTTATCCCAGCACAGACAGGCTGCCCAAGGACTTTCTTTTCAGAAATTGTTAATAGATGCACTGCGACAGGTATAAAGTACCACCCAGCATTTCCTAGCAAGTCTGCTTTCTTCTTAAGGTACAAAGAACTACAGAGAAAACACACAAAATAAATCAAGTAAAAATAAGAAACCTATACTCATGCTAACAAGACCAGGATTCCCCAACCTGCCATGGATTCTGGCAGAAGCAGTCCTTCAAACCCCTGCCCAATTGTGTTCCTTGTGGTTACCAACTCTTCCCAGTTTCAGCTCAAAACTAGCACCCAATCCTTCCAGCCCTCCCCTAAGGCCTGAAGTTTTGCGTGGCTCAGGGGTCCTGTCCATTTGATGGATCAGGAAGAAGGCCCTGAGCCTGTTTGAAACCAGGCTAGTTATTCGCAAAACCCTTCTTTGTGATTTGGTCCCTAGAGAATCCAGTCTGAACTAGTACACGCAGATCTCTCTGGGGTGGGATAACAGAGGAAGGATATTAGCCTCCCTACCAGAGAAGGTACGAGCAAGGTAACAATAACGCATACACAGCTGCATTTTTAGTATAATGTACCCCAATGATATTAACCCTAATTCAATACAGTTTAACTTAATTCACTAACTTGTATCATAATTCCATACGGTTTGTTCAGGATATTATAGGTCAGGCTGCGTTTTAGTCACAGGTATTTTTAGTAACCATGACCTGTCAATGATTTTTATTCCAGCCCCTAACTAAAACTTGGGCCAGGGGGCCACCCCCAGGACCCCTCTTGCACTGGGAGTGGGGGAAGGAGGCGGGCAGGTGGCAGAATGTACTATTGCCACCCTTTCTTTAGGAGAAAATACAGTGGGTGACTCTTGTCAGCATACATTTCAATAAAATCTCTTGAGAAGTTCAGAGTTTCCAAAAGGGCTCTTAAGGATGCCACATCAGTAGGAGTGGGAAGTTTTCTAATCAACTCCACCCATTGTGCAGCTGAGGCTCATCCTTCCTTTCCCAATATGACCCCTAAATATTTTACTTCTTGCTGTCCCGACTGGGCCTTGGCTTTGCAAGCCTTGAATCTTAAATGATCTGTAACACCTCCTCAGTGATCTAACCAACCTATTGTCCCCATGCACCAATAGATCATCAACTTAAGAAATTACTCTCTTTTGTTCATCCCGTGTCAATTTTTCCCACATCTTAACCACATGGGAGTGACAAATTGTGGGTGCGTTATGAAAACCCTGAGGGAATCTTGTGCAACCGAAGTGTCGTCCCCTGTAGCAGGGCAACCACTCACCGCTGCAGCGCCTCCTGCTGGTCAGTCCAGGAATTAGCTCATCCAGCTCAGGATCACCCGCCTATGTCCAGTTTCTCCCGTGCCCTTACCTGCTCCTTCGCAGTCCCTTTGTCTCCACCAGTTCAGGTCCTGCATCCCTCCCGGACCACAGTTCCCACGGTTTAGGGTCCTCCCCTCCCAGGGGATCCCAATCCCATAAGCCAACCTCGCCTCAGTGACCCATTGCCAGTGTTCATTCATTCGGGCAGCTAGGCCTTGCATTTCTTTGTTGCACTGTTTGCATTTTGCACGCATGCCTGTCCTACCCACAGGTAGAGGAACTTCATTAAAATATTCCCAAACTGGGTCTCTTTTATGGATTGCTGCCATTATAGGTTTTCCCTTCTAGTGAGAGAATGGTAAGGTAGAGCTCAAATCAATGAAGGCTACACTCAGAAAGAGCTCAAGACTTCTGGAATATGCTGCTGAAACAGTTTCACTTTTGTTTCTACTTCCTGTCCCTCCCTTCTCACATTTATCTCCAGACTTCTTCTCCTTGTCCAGATCTATTCCGCCCCCAACAATCTTCTATTCACTGAACTTTTTGAAACTTTGCACTTTTAGAGAGAGGTAAGGGATTGACTCTGTGTACACAAACTTGCAGAGGGACAATAGGGTTGAGGTCTGTTATTTCTCATCACTATATATCATTTATATATTTATTTAAAACATTTTTGCTGTTAATAAGCATGTTATTTGTAGAGATACAAATCCACAGTTTGAGAACTGCAAAACTAAGCATCTCTGATGGTATCTCCTAGACTGAGCACTAAGTCCCATTGGATAGATAGAAAGATTAACCTAAATAATCTATACAGAAGCCTCTGGAACCCAGTAAGATTGGGTCCCTAGTCCATGAACTATTGGAACTCATTTACAAAATTCATTTACAAAACTTTTCTTAAACAGTACATTAATATATTGTCTCATACTATAGAATTAGAATTTATAATCCCTATTCCATTATGAAATATCTTTGAGCTATAATGTATCTTAATTAAAACTTTTTTCCTCAAAAAGCATTTTATCAAAAAAACTGATTTAAATGAAAAAAATATCATTGATTTTTATCCACCTTGAGTAGCACTGACCCTGTTGCCCCTAACCCCAGCACCTCCTAACCTCTATTAGCCCAAGGCCCGCACCGTCCCTGCCTGCTGGAACAGAGGATGCTGGTCTGTGGGGTAGTGTCTCCCATTCTCATCGTTCTTCCACTGTACCTTTCCTCTGTCTCACAACACCTCCCCTAACGTGACTGGGTCTCTGTCCCGCTCTTGCAGCTACTTCGCATAAGTGGGGGGAAGCCCAGTCCCTGTGGTTCAGGTGGCCTAAGATAACATCTAACTGTGGCTGAAGAGGGGAAGGGTTTGGGACAGGTGGTTTAGGGCAGGGAGGGTAACCAGGGGCCTCAGAACTCCTCGGTTCTATCCCTGGCTCTGGGAGGGGGATAGTTAGAATCAAGATGCCTGGGTCCTACCCCTGGCTCTTGGAGAGGAGAGGAGTGGAGGCTGGTGGTTTAAAGTAGTAGGGGCTGGGAGCCAGGACTGGCCTGGAATGGGATCCCAGCCATGTCTCCCTTGTGACACTTCCTGCAGACCCAACCCTGATCTCAGCACCAACCTGGCCAACATCATCAAGCAGTGCTGGAGCAAGAGCATGCCCAAAGCATCCATTGAGGAGGCCATCAAAGGAGGGGTAAGTAGCCGGGTCCTGCCAGCTCATCTCAGGGGGCAGAGGGGCCCTTGCTGCATTCTATGGGCCAGGCCAGGCCCTGCCGAGGGGCATTGGGAGCCTTGAATGAGGGAGCAAGAGTGGGGTTGTGGCTACGATGCTGGGCTGGGCTACAGGACTCCTGGTGTCTATTCCTAGCTCTGCCACTTGCTGCCTCTGTGACCATGGGCAAATCACTTGGGTCATAGGGAATTGCCAGATGGGATCAGTGCAGAGGTGTGTCCACTCCAATGTCCTGTTTCCAGCACCAGAGGCTGAGAGGTTGGTGTAAGAATCCCGCAGTAGCAGATGTGGGGATAATCATCCTGTGCTCGTGTCACTGTGCTTCAGTGGGTCACACCTGAGAATACCAGATTCAGGACAAACTGCTGAGAAATAGGGCAGACACATGTCAGAACTGATGGTTATTCTTCCATAAGTTGTGCCACACCAGCAACAAAAGTAAACTTCTGTCTCACTACACTGGCTAACAAGAAGTCAGAATTGCAGCCTCGTTAGGTATCCCCATCCTTGTTTCACTACCCAGACACTAGACTTAATGATGAGTGGTTATTTAAAACCAATTTCATCAACCAAAGGGTTCTTCTGATCCCAGAGGACCAGCCACATATAGCTCAGATCATG